CAGTTGGTTCCTTAGTAAATTCAAGTACCTCCGAAACGCAAGAACGCAACCGGAGATCGCATAATGTTATCATTATTAACGTACCTGAAAAAGCGAAAATCGATAGAGTAACAAACACACGATAATAAGCATGCAAAATGGATGGAGTCACTTGTCAATGCCTCAGCCTGAAAAAGAATTAAAACGACCACTTGTCCAGTACTCCTAAAGTTTCCAGACGATATGAGTGCATCGAAATTCGTACGCTGTGAAAGACTAGTTGCCGCACAAGCTAATTACATAAACATTATAATCAAACTGGAGCATACGCCTCTCCGAAGACGATTAGCGCTGAAACAAAGCACCTCTGCCCATCGAACACCCCATATTCCTACTTTTGAGGCCAGTACTAACGCTGTCATCAGTAATGTTGACTATGAAAAGTCAACTAGGTCTGGCATTCCAATCATCAGCGGCATCATAAGAGGTCTTCAAACAGCAAAAAATGCCAACCAAGCTGAAAGTATAGCGACTCAGCAAACGTGCTGATTACACACGCAACTCCTTTGTCCGTTATGCCAGTCACGTGCATTTACAAAAGTTGACAGTAGCTGTACCTGCGACCTATCGATAGAAAAACAAAAACTCAGATTATCATGTTTCCATCAAGAAAAACAAATATAAATTTGACGAAAAGGAAGCAAGCTATGGCTTATTGCCGACTAACTGAGGAATAGGCAAATACAGAGGAAAACACGCTCCAAAAACTTCTTCCAGAAACACTCAAGGCTCAGCAGTTCTGAAGCGACCAATACAAGATAGCCAACTACACCAGCTGAGAAAATGTGTGTCTTCAGGGTTCCGCAAACAACAATGAGACTGATGTTGGGATAAGCAGCAGAGAACCGGTCCAACATTTACCCACAGTACCTTTGACTATAAATTCAACTACCGCAACTTGAAACTGGCAAAACCCGACATCGAAATAGCAAACAAAATGGCGGTAAGCCTCACGGAATCCTACGCAAAAGGGTGCAAACCCTATCCAGCTCAAGTCAAAACCCACCCACTTTACTACTAAACTGGCAGCAATACAATCCGAACAAAAACGCTTTGACAGACTTCAGCATCCCCCACTTTTGTATACTACCCACCTTCGTATACTAAGTCATTTTTAGACTATCGTGTTCCACAACATTCTCCAGCACCAATCCAGCCACTATCAAGTGCCAGTATGAGTCAGAATAATCTAATTATTGGAGCACCCACTCCATGCAAGCCAGCGCGATGTGGAGCTCAGTGTGTTTCACATCACACAGTTCTTAGATACAATAATGACAAAGAAACAAACCTTATCCACCCATTTTGTTCCAATCTAACAATGTCTCTCAAATTTGTGGTTGTTAACATTCGTTCTCTTTTACCTAAATTAGAGAGGTTTTCAAAACTTATATTTACGAGATCCTCGATATTGCTTTTAGTACTGAAACTTGGTGCACAACGGAAATTAAGGAATCTCAGGTTAACATTTGAGCTTAAAAACTTTTCCGCACACATCGCTCACATAAACGTGGTGGTGCCTGGGTTATATACTTCTGATATAGCCTGACTGCCACTCACGCAGATCAAACTGTGTGTGTGTGTGTGGTGATCCCATCTAGTGGGTTGTATCTATCAGCCGCCCCAGCCGATCAAGGTGAAACACACAAGCTAATCGATATGATCAATGCTGAATCCAGCAACACCTACAAGTCTAAACTTATGTGTGAAGATTTCCACTTACCACATGTTAATTGGATGTTGCCTACACTCAGAAGCACTGCGGGGATTCAGGAACTAATCTCATGTATCCACCTCAATGGCCCACCAGAAGTACCACTACCCTTGACCTTGTACTCACGATGGGGATCTCCACTGCCAATGTCATCATTGATAATCCACTACCGGGTTGTGATCACAACCCGGCGCTTTGTGATATGACTACTGAAACACCTAAAACATCAAGTATAATGTTAACACCCATTCGCAATCTTCAACGTGTTGACTGGAACAAATGTGGTGAACTTATCAGTACCATGAATTGGAACATGTCATTCCTAACTCACAATCATACTGTGGCTACACATGAGGTTATTAACAATATTGCCCTTTATGTGGATCTACTGGAACCTATCGTATGGAGAAATAACTATAAACATAGTAGTGAAGTCAAGCTTCTATACAAAGACACCACCAAACAGAAGGAACGTTAATTACTATAGCGCAGAAACAACAGCTTTGCAACACTGTTACAGACACAGGAGCCTCTGCTACAGTCGCAACCTTAAACCCAAACAGTTAAAGTCAAAGAAGCAAGTCGGGTAGTTAGAAATGTTGGGAAAGAACTACATTGAGGTAACTACTCAAAAGAAGGAATACTAAACCTCATCAGGAAATGGAAACGTTAGTCCTGGAAAGGTGGTTAATTAACGCGCGACATCCTCTGCATATGCGAGGTTATCCACTCTAGTTTTGTATTCTGCTTTGTCCTTAGCACCCAGCTGTTACATCCTTCACTTGCGAAAAAGGAAGAACGAGCTACTATCTAATACTCCTGTGACGCTGAGAGAGGTGCAAAGTGCCATCACGTCCATAAAACCACCAACTCATCCGGAGCCACATGGCATCTCCACAAATGTCGTAAAACTCGGCGGAAAAAGTGCCCTAGTGCTATTAAACGTTTGAACGCTTTGTCTCACCACCGGCTGCCTCTCATCTCAATGGAAGCAATCCATCATAATGCATAAGCACAAGGGTGGCCCGCGGAATGAAATGTCAAGCTATCGCCCTATAAATTACACCTCTATACTTCTAAAGCGCTAGAGAGAGTAGTCTGGAGCAACATTGTCCAATTGCTTACAAGGCTGGATCAGATCATCAGCATCAGCATCAATACACGTTAGTTGAGGGCGAGAAACACATCTCAGCTAATGTGCCGAAATACAAAAAATTTACACTATAAAACGGATTTCAAGCAAGTACTATGATTCAAAGCTGAATTTAGGGAGCACGCTGTGTGGTTGGGTTGCGACTCGCAACCTCTATTGAGATCTCGGCTCACTTTGAGGTAAAACTCGGTCATTCCGATCTCGAGGACCGTATCCTGAATGGATATATTTGGGTGTTGGGAAGAGCAACACCCAAATATATCCAAGTACTATTCTGTTAAATATTATATTATGTGTTTTGTATGAGATCAGGATTGGAGGGGGAGTCTAAAGGAGAGGAGGGTGGATAAAGAAACCCACAACACAAACGCATTGGGGCCGGCGCTTCGCCATATAAACAAGTGTGTCCGACCAAACGTGTTCATCGTCTTTAGGACCCACAGTCAGGCAGTCGGGATGCACCAACCGACGCCAACTACGAAGTGAAGGTTTTCATTTCTCTCGAACAAGTCATCGCTTAGTCTCCCCTTCTTTCTTTCCAACCTCACCCCCCGGGTGCGCAAACAATGCATGGTTTTCTCTCAAAACGCTACTACGTTACCTAGCAGCGACTATTCTTCGATCATGTCCCAACCATGACTGACAGAGGAATGGCAATTATTATGATCCCGTTGGATATGCTGACGGCGTTTGACCGTGTGCCACACAAGCCACTGTTGTACGTTCTAGAGTTATACGGAATCGGAAACACACTGCTAAGCCGGTTCGACTCGTACCTAAACGATCGAACCCAGATAGTCAGAATCGGTCAGTAATACTCTAGGCTAAAACAAACAATCAGCAGCGTCTTCCAGGGAAGTGAGCTCGAACCACTACTTTTCCTGATCTACGTAAGCAATATATGCGACCGGATCAAAGGTGGACGTCCATACCAGTTTGCAGATGATGTCAAACTGGTCTACGCATTTCACCCAGATAAAGTACAAATATGTGAAGACCTATACGCACTAAATATAGCTAGTGAAAGTTTAGTAATGAAGTTCTCCGCGGTAAGATCCCAAGTAGCTTGGTACAGATACCGCATTCTGGAAGGCTCTATCACACTTGCCGGAAACGCGGTCCGAACGTCTGATTCAGTTCGGGATTAGGAATTAGGTACTCCAACTCTTCCAATTGCTCCGAACACGTGTTTTGTCAGGTTGCAAAAACGAGGCAGCTATGCGGATACATCAACAGAACTTTCTCCCTGTCTGAAACACGAATTGAGTCATAGAAAATAATCGTACGACCGACTGCACTATTGTTCACAGCCAAAAAAGAAAGATAGAACAGCTCTGGTAAATGTCCAACGATTATCTACAAAGCGGGTCAGGGTCGCTTCTCAAATGTGACTTATTAGGATCGCTGTCATCAACTCCAAATGGATCATCATTGGCTGAGACGCTTAAAGAACAATCTCTTACGCTTCTTCAACATTAGTAACAAACGAATTTACGCGGACAGCATCCTACTTGAGGTGAGGAAGGCTGCAATCTACCCCACACGAAATGGTGGCTACTTCCTACTCTCAAAGTCCGCATGTCGTTAAACTCGATCGAATCTCTTCTAAGTGAGATATGCCGATGCGTGGAACAAACTACACGTACGGACAAGCATGAATGCAAACCATGTCACATTTCAAAATTGCCTACAGACTTTACTCACTATTTCAACTGTGTTGAAGATCTTTGGCCTACAACAATCTATAGGAAACATTCACAGAAGCTGTTATAAATGACGAATGAACAGCCAGTTGCTTACGAATTCGAAATCATTATTAAGAAAATTAAACGATTTATCATCAAGTCAAGCGGGATCATCAGAGCGCAGCGTACGGATTCACTCAGTGTATAGACTAGGTTCCTTGAGTAACAAACTCAAAGGGGCACGCAAACTAAAATAGGCGCAATGATAACCACAAAAGTCAAATCCAACGCTTAGCACTACGTGAAATAGAGCTCCATTCCAGCAGTACATTGACGATATTCAGAAGAAGCAATGTGTAAGCACATCTGGAATATGATAAAACAATGAACACTAGAAACAAATACTCACTCGAATGCACTGCGTTGATGTGTTTTTTCAGAGTGCCCTTCTGAAGGAAGCATCTACCACAATGGTCACATCTGTGGGGTCGTTCTTCTGTGGTAGTAAACACAGTTTCGTTAACAAAAATAACATAACTAAAAAAACCACGAGAGAAACGAAGTGTACACAAATCGATTGCAACTAGAAAGCGTTTCAGTGAGCATTGCATACTACCAGTAAGCAAGACCGGTTGCGTAAGTTAGGTGATAGCGAGGATGCATCTAAGAAAGAAAGAAGAACGGTACTGCGTACGGACGCATCGCCGCCGCAAAACCACCAGCAGCCGTGCTTACGCAAAGGGAATTGCGAGGGTTATCAAATGCTCTACGCATGCCTGAACCCGCAAACTCAGCAACAAAGGTTAGGCTTGTGATTCTTAAGGCCAGAAGCCTTTGCATATATATATATATATATATATATATATATATATATATATATATATATATATATAAAGGATCACAGCACTAAAAGTATGGTTTTGTAGCTCGTCAGTTGCAGGAGTAGTGTAGAAAAACACCAGCCGTTGTACTCGCTGTTTGTTGATTTCACCAAAGCATTAGATACTGCGAACCGCGAGGCATTGTGGCTGGTGTTAGGTAAGTTTGGCTGTCCGAGTAAACATATATGTTTAACTGAATATCTGCAAAGTGGTATGCGGGCGAGGGTACAGTTAAGTGGACAGACCATGGATGACTTTGCAGTTATCTCTGATGTGAAGCAAGGCGGTGTCTTAGCTCCCACCCGGTTTAATATCTGACTTCATGCAATGATGTCTTGTGCTTTTGATACCGCTTGTTCTTACGGTGTTCGTGTGGAGCACCGTATTGATGGTGGATTACTGAATATCCGTCGTTTCGATGCGAGTAACCTAGTCTGCGAGATAACTATGCGTATGCTGCTGCTCGCTGACGACTGTGCGTTGTTTGCACACAGCGCGGATGAGTTGCAGCACATGACTAGTGCTCTGGCTTCGACAGCGGCCAAATTCGGACTCACCATCAACACAAGCAAAATTGTCTGTCTCTTTCAGCCTTCACCGGAGGTGTAAGCTTCAATATTGCCGCGAATCAGCATCGGTGCTGAAGTATTGGAAACCATCTCCCGCTTCTGCTACCTTGGGAGTGTGATGTCGACTGACCATCAGCTTAACAGTGAGGTGCGTATCCGCATCTGTAAGGCACAGGCAGCATTCGGGAAGCTTGAGTACCGAATGTGGAATTTCCGAAAGCTTACCGTCGGCACGAAGCTGATGGTGTACAAATCCATGGTGCTGTCCTTTCTTCTATATGGCAGCGAAACGTGGAGAATGTACCGGCGAGATGTGAGATATCTCGAGCGGTTTCATCAACATTGTCTGCGACGGATTCTGCGCATCGGTGGGTACGGCAGAAGTGCAGATACGAAGTGTTGCCCTAAAGTGGAATGTATGCAGTGAACTGCATACGTTTGCAGAGACACTTTAGGTAACTCGGTCATCTGTGGCGTATGCATTCGACGGGGATACCGAAGCAACCGTCGTTTGGTCAGGTGAGTGTTGTAAAGCGGCAGATAAGGAAACTGAAGCTTCGTTAACAGGACATGATCAAAGTGAGCTTCTCACATTCTAATCTTGATTGCAGGTCATGGGAATCAAAAGCAGTTGATCGGCTTACATGGTGCGAACTGATCATGAAGGCCGTTGCCGCGGTGCAAGAGAAAGCCCTCTTGCGTGCAGAGAAGAAGCGGAATTGCGGAAGCGGCAAGCGCCGAAGGGTTGTACTCCATCGACATCGAGCGAATGGTCCTGTAGCACATGCGGTCGCGAGTGCCTGAGTCAGGCAGGCCTAGTGAGCCATGAGCGAGGCCACTCAGGACCACTACCGAGGCGACGACGGGTCCTGCAGAGAACGTAGGCAGAACCGGTGCAGCGTTTATAGGTACGCTGCATTCGATTTACTAACCGCGTGCTTGTATGCTGAGCCTCTTTATCTCAAATGGTGGGTTTGCTATATTGTCCTAATGCTTTTCTTTCCAATATAAGTGCCTACTTATACTGTCTTCTATACACTTGCACACGTCGCTTAAGCCACTTGTAGTTATTTCGATAATATTATCGTGTTTGTAGCATTCCCGTTAAATATACTTTCTGACCTCGTGAACTTATCTCGGATTCTTTTGTAAACTACTTATTTCATATGCTCAGTAATTTAAGATAAATGTCACCGTTTCCTTATCCATTACTCGATTTATTTTATTTGTTATATTTAACTCAAGTGATTGGCTGTTGCTTGGTATCCCCGGTGTGGCTGCGCTTGATGTGCATGTTGACAAGGTGCCTACCTGTCTATTACCCACTACTTCGTCCATACTGGCTCCAGGAGACAGTTGGTCATTGCTGGAGGGGACGGGGTGCACGGTCCTTGTGGCCGTGCTAGGCTCAAAGAGTGGTTCCATGCACTCAGTGTGGAACGGACTACGGTCCATCCACCGCTGTGCGTGCGACTGATTCCGAAATACATCGTGCTTGTGTTTGTCTGTGTAGGAGTGTGGGCCGGCTCAGGTGAAGAAATGTGGCTCCCATCCGCATGCATCCCAGCCTTATTGCTTCGGGTTTACACTGGATATGGGGTGTTGCACATTTTTGATGGAGATGTTTAATATCATAATGTAGAGAAGAAAAAGCAAAGAGCCAAGAACAGTTCCTTGGAAGACGCCGATGGGAACTGGACAAGTAGATGAGTGCTGGCTATCCATAGTGACTAACTGAAACGGTATGCTAAGGTAGGAAAAAAGCCAACTTAAAAGCTGGTTCCGGATTCCAAAGGATTCAACCTTTTAGAAAAGTCGTTTGTGTAGTACACGATCAAATGCTTGTTCTAGGTTCAAGAATAAAAATATTACAGAAGAGTATTAGGGGTAGTTGAATGGCATAAGTAGAAATTCGTCACATTATTGCAGAACCGGAGTCTAAGTATTAGGAATTGTTGTTAAGGTAGTGCAGTCAGCAGATCGTACAGGAACGCCTATCCAGGAAACCACGTTGATATCTGTGTTAAACAGGTTTAGAGAATTAATAAATGTCATCAACGTCGTCTTGTCTAATCTTTCAAACAGAATGGCGATAATGGGAGTATGATGAATCGTTCGGTAATTGGCAACCTTTTACATGAGACCGATTTTACAGAGTGGGCTGATCAATGGGATTTTCCATGGATCAGAAAAATAGCTAGCTTGTAGCGATAACACAAACATAGTCAACAAAAGCAATGGTAAGTAAGTCTGGCCCTTCCATAATGATAGCAATTGAAGGGACATCGTCGGAGTCCACCCTGCGAGGAGGTTTCATGGTTTTCATTACCTGCCGAATGGAGTTGACAAAAATTCCGAGGGCATTCAGGTATGGGGTCAGATTCAAAAACCACGGAGGCAACAATGAAAGCGCTAAACGAATTGCACACGAGAAGTGGGTCATTAGAGGGTTTACCATATTCATCGAAGAGTCCAGTGAAAGGGGGAGAGTTAATACTGGTTCTATGACGAAGAAAAGCGACAAGTTGCATTGCTTTGCTATCACTCATTCACCATCCATCGCAATGAGGCTGGACCTTACCGTGGTGCAATCGTTTGTGTGCTTCAGAGACCCATTGAGCTATGCTGGGTGGGGTCATTTTGCACCTTCAGAGCCACTCATACCACATTGGTCAATGATTAGAGGCCAGAAAAACTCAGCTTCCTGATCCTCCAGGTTGGGGGTTGGAATGAGGGTGGCTCTTTATTCCTTAAAACAGACTCCATGTAGCCCAACGCCAAACCCGCTGCCTTGCGGTCAGGTTTTTGAGCCAAAGGCATTGGTTGAGAATCCTAAGCGTTCTCCTGTCTAGGCCTGGGCAACCTGACAGTATCCTATGAATCTTCCGTCAAACAATTTCTTGATGGTCTAGCTACCGCAGAGGATAATCAACAGTGCCGCATTAAAGGGCGACGACAGCTTGCCGTAAGCCGCCACTATGCCTGAGCTGCGCGCGTATAATACTCGGATAATACTTACATATTTCCCAGGTACACCTTTGCTGAGTAGACAGTCCTAAAGTGCACGTCTATTCACCGAATCGAATGTACCTTTGATATCGAGCAACACGACAACGGTGAGCCGCCAATATATGTGACGGTGCTCCAACAACTGACGCAAGGTGAAGATGTGGTCAATGCAGCCACGACCTAGACGAAACCCGGCTTGCTCTTCACGAATATGGCTTTCACGAGTGCCAGTCAGTCTGTGAATGATGACAGAGACAAGCAACATGGAGGCGATGGAGATCAGACTGATTCCTCTATAGTTGCCGCATTCCGATCATGAGCCTCCCTTGACAATTGGAACTATAACGGAGTGGCTCCAGCCTGTCAAGACAGTAACCTGCTCCCACAGTTTCACCAACAACTCGTATAAATCCTCAACAAGAGCACGGCCCCCGAATTTGAAAAGGGCTGCAGAAAGATCATCTGGTCCCGCGGATTTCTTAAACTTTAGCAATCCAATCGCAAGTTCCATTTATGAGTGAGAGGGCGGATCCAAATGGACAGCCCAAGCAGTAGGGCGATCAGTGGTCGGGGAGAAACCAAACAATCCCGAACGATTAAATTGCTTTTCAATGTGCTCAGCCCAACGCTCCAAGCGTTTTGACAAGCTGTGGGTGGGCTATCCACTCTCATCACGTATAGTTTCACCAACATCAGGTTCCCTGCTGCCCGCTTCCCGTATCAAAAGGAATAACTTATCATGGTTAAAAAGAGCAGCGGCCATTTCCATCTCTGAAGCATGATGAGACCACCAGGATTCGTGGTCTCTCTTTAGGGTAGTATGGACTTTTGCCCGTTTTGCGAGTCTCATTGTCTTCGCTTCCATCCGGAATGTGCCGTCGAACATCGATAAGTTCCAGAGACTGCGAAGAGACCAAACGTTCATGTTGGCTATTAGACTTACCACATGAGGATTTACCTGCTGCTAGTAAGGTCTGGTGAACTTGAGACCAGTGAACTTCAACCGTAATGAATGAGCGCTCACTCAACTCGCATGT